GTGTTGTAGTTATTGCACGGTGTATTTATTATTGTTGCTCGGTGATAGTGGTGGTGTTGGCAGGTTGTATTATTGCATGGCGCTATTGCTCCAGGTTGTTGTTGTTGAAGTGTATTTATGTTTTTGCTTGGTGTTGTTGTTGTGGGTGGTGGTGTTATTGTATTTGCTGCTTTACTGTTGTTGTTGTTGTTGTGGGTGGTGGTGTTATTGTATTTGCTGCTTTACTGTTGTTGTTGTTGGTGTTGCGGCTGCTGTCAATACTGCAGCATTAGTCAGCATAGCATGGAGACCGGCACTAAAAGAGTGGACAAAAACCTGAAAAAAGGTAATTAAGCCCAGTTTGCTAATAGAAAAACAGTTTTTACCTTTGCAAGTACAGGATGTACGAGTCATCAGCCAAATTACCTTAATTAAACAGTGAGTTTGGATAGAGACATGGAGGGCTACACGCGCACGCACGCACGCACGCATACTAGGTGAGTACACACACACACACAGGACCAAAGGCGGGACCAGAGAGCCAAAGCTCATCCCCCGCAAGTACAGCTAGGTGAGTACACACATACAGGGCCTCGTGGCTGAGTGGACAGCGCTCGGGGGTCGTAGTCCTAAGGGGTCCTGGTTCGATTCCCGACGGAGGCGGAAACAAATGGGCAGAGTTTCTTTCACCCTGATGATCCTTCTCCCCTAGTAGTAAATAGGTACCTGGGAGTTAGACAGCTGCTACGGGCTGCTTCCTGGGAATGTGTGTGTGTGTGTGTATGTGTGTTAAAGAGAAATATATGTAGTGAATATAATAGAGAAAAATTGATTGGTTAGAATGGCGGGGTCCAGGAGCTAATAGCTCGATTCTGCAGACAGAGTAAATACACACACACACACACACACACACACACACACACACACACACACACACACACACACACACACACACACACACACACACACACACACATTGGAAAACAATTAAAGGTTGATAAACGAATCCAAGAACTGGAGCTCAACCGAACAAGCACAGCCAGGTTAGCACCACTCGGTGGATACAAACCCACAACAAAACGAAGAAAAACAGCTACGTGCCACTACGGCACGATGATGGACAAAACCGAGAAGAGGAGGAAAAGATGGAACAAATTAAAAAAATACAAATTTACTCTGAAAAGATCAATACAAAAAAAATCTTAACAAGATCACTAAAAAAAAAACTGTTAACCAACTTGGCCCAGCCAACACGGGCCGAAATTACTCCACAAAGTTAACCTGCACATCAAAGGCCGATCAGCAAATCCATGGTGGCAAAACTCCAGCCACAGTCAACGCAGTGAAGCCTCCTTCATCTCCTGAGGACGACGAGGAGGAGGAGGAGGAGGAGGAGGCTAGTGAAACGGAAGATCAATAGGAGGAAGAGAGAGGGAGATGAGATAGAATAAGGGAAGATGAAGGCACACCAGCCATCAGAGACCGTCTTGGCCAACCTGTCCAAGACGTTGAGGGAGCTGTGTCCGCCCCACCAGAAGGGTCCAGGTAAGATCCAGACGGCGTCCCCAGAGACGCTCCTGGAAGCTCAAAGGGCTCCAGGAATGGGAAGATAGGTATGGCCTGGAATGGAATTAGAGGATAGCCGGGGAGGTGGATAATGAATGAGTCGGTTGGAAGGCGGGGGAACTGTTCGGATGAGCGGATAGATGGATAGATGGATGGATATATGGGTGATGGGACGGTGAGTGAGTGTATGTGTGGGAAGGGGAGGGCGGGGAATGTGTGTGGGAAGGCAACCGTGAATCCATAGATTATTAAATGATTCACTGGATGTGTTGAGTGTCCGACTGACTGACCTCACTGTTTACGATGCTCTGCTTTGGTCTGACTTTCCATGTTTGTCAACATTGAATGGACGTGGGAGGGGGATGTCGTAGAGGAATGGGGGTAGAAGGGTGAGGGAGGGAGGGAGAGAGAGAGAGGGGGGGGAGGGAATTAACAATCTTAAAACAACTAACGGTCATTTAACAGTCTTATAAAACAGAGCCTTTAAATAGCATGTGTTCTAAAGGTCTTTAACGACAATTCCTTTGCAGTCGTGAGGAGTAAGGCTCTTTACAAATTTTAAAAACCAAAGATCTTTCATTAATCGTAAATAACTATGGTTTCTAAACTATTTTAAATAACTGAAATTTTCATAAACCTTAAGGGCAACACTGCTCGCACGAGGTCAAAACATTGTGAGTTAGCACTGCGTCCTGAACTGGCTGAGAGCTATTTAAGGCACCACAGCTGTTTAGTTTCCTTCGGTAACGCTGTCTCATCCTCTCAAGTCTTTAACGTTGGTGTCTCACAAGGGTAAATTCTGGTGCCTCTCCTCTCTTCTCTCTCTCTCTCTTCTCTCTTCTCTCTTCTCTCTTCTTCTCTCTTCTCTCTTCTCTCTTCTCTCTTCTCTCTTCTCTCTTCTTCTCTCTTCTCTCTTCTCTCTTCTCTCTCTCTCTCTCTCTCTCTCTCTCTTCTCTCTCTCTCTCTCTCTCTCTCTCTCTCTCTCTCTCTCTCTCTCTCTCTCTCTCTCTCTCTCTCTCTCTCTCTCTCTTCTCTCTCTCTCTCTCTCTCTCTCTCTCTCTCTCTCTCTCTCTCTCGTCTGTGGTGTGTGTGTGTGTGTGTGTGTGTGTGTGTGTGTGTGTGTGTGTGTGTGTGTGTGTGTGTGTGTGTGTGTGTGTGTAAGGGACTTAGAAAGTTTCAATAGGGGCTAAAACCATACTTTTATGACAAAGCTTTATATATCACGGGCAAAAACTAATACATCCTTAATGTATTAAGTGAATAGTTAGGCTAATTTTACCCCGTGTGGAGACTTGTTCCTCAGGATCTTAGCATAAACTCATACCATAAGTGCTAACACTTTATTTGCTGTAAATATTACCGAGGATATGTCTTTACTTTTTATACTATCTTTATGATTACAACTATCGATCGATACCACACAGCCCATCATCCCTTCTACCCCCAATCATCACCACAACCCCACCACAATCACCACCACAACCCCCCCACAACCCCCCACAATCACCACCACAACCCCCCCACAATCACCACCACAACCCACCACAATCACCACTACCTTTCTCCAGAACAACGACCTTGTCCCCCCCAACCCCTTCCTTTGTTTAAAACACACCTAACCCCCCCCCCTCCCCCCCCCCCCCCCCCTTACCATTAAGCTGTTCTTTGAAGTACAGAAACTAACAAAACTCGCCTCCAAGAACCCCGCCCAAACTCCCTTAGAACCTCCACCAACTCCACTACAGCACCCTCCCTTTCACCCCACTACCCCCACACCACCACTTCCCCACCCCTAACCAACGTCATGACAACCTCCCCCCCCCCCACCCCCAAAGCATAAACATTTCTCATATCCGCATCTCCACATCCCCCTCTCCTATCACCACAAGCCCTCCTTCCCCCCTCACCCCTTCACTAGACCTGCCCCCAACCCACTAACACCAAGACACACACACACACACACACACACACACACACACACACACACACACACACACACACACACACACACACACACACACACACACACACCGACTCCTAAACCCCCCCACCAGTCCTCTCTTAGGACTCGAACAAGGCAACTGCAGTCCATAACACGATAGAGGATGGATCTGATCTGCACACACCGCAAGGAAACACAACTTCCTCCGGTGTGTTACCTGTTTATCTTCGGTTACCCCCGGCAAATGAGGACTGAAGAGGGAGTCCCTTAGGGAGCCCCCATGGAGGGCTGCACCCGGCTGGGGGCCCCTCAGGGAATCCACCAACCACCCCCTCCCCCCTCAAATATTTGAAGTTACAAGGAGTGAGGAAGAATAGTGGCTTCGCGCTCTGCCCTCGTCTGTTTGGCCAGGGACCTGCCGCTACAAAGGTGGTCTCGGCCGCCCTCACAGAGCACCGATGGAAGAGGTGGTCGTCATTAATACCAGAGTGGGCTGGGCTCTGGTGGAGGGGGTGTGAGGGGGGGGATTCTTGTAAGGGAGAGAAAGGGAGGGAGAGGGGTGGAGTGTGGGGGGGGGTGAGGAATGTTGTTTTACACACATATACACATACATACACACATACACATACATACACATACATACACATACATACACATACACATACACATACATACACATACATACACATACACACACACACACATACACACACACACATACATACACACATACATACATATATACACATACACATACATACACATACATACACATACATACACATACACATACATACACATACACATACACACATACACACACACATACACATACATACACACATACACACACATACATACACACACATACATACACATACATACACATACATACACATACACATACACATACACATACACATCTGTCCCCAACCTGTAACATTTAAGCATCACATCCCCTGCCGGATGTCCCCTGATCCCCCCCCCCCACACACACACACACACACACACACATGTAAACCGTCCCAGTTACACAACATACACCATACTTACCAGTAAACCAGATCAAAATCGCCATTTTTCACTGTTTCTCAAGGTTTACCAAAAGCATACATGTGGAGGAGAGCTATAAATATGTTTAAATAGGGGGAGAAATTGATCTGTTTAAATGTAAGCTCCATATAGAGAGTTTCCATTAAGAGTAAACCGTTCAGGATGCTCCAGAGATTAGCGCAGCTAGAACACTTTTGTGTATCCGGCCAGATGTGACACACACTGGGCTCAGGAGCTATCGCACGACTCTAGAAGCACATTTAGGCGAGTCCATATTGAAGAGTACATACACAACTGATGCGAAATGCAACCCAATATATAGCCAATGCATTTTTTCTTAGCAAAATGTCTTCAACCTCTTAGTGCTTGGGGCGAAAAAAAAGATCTAAATGTTTCGTAAGTGGTCGTGGAAATACTTGATGAATACACGTTACGTAATAATAATTTTTCGGGGGGACAGGCAGCCAGTCCCCGACAGGACCTGGGATACGAGGACAAGGACCTGGAATACGAGGACAAGGAACTAGGTCACAAGAACGGTGTGAAGGAACTGGATACCTGGACAAAAGATCAGTGTATACATATATACATATACACAGTAAATACATATACACGTTAGGCTTGTATCGAGAGTCCAAGAGATAATAGCTCGATTCTGCAGACACAAATAGTAAATACACACACACACACACACACACACACACACACACACACACACACACACACACACACACACACACACAGATGTGGATATCCGGTGTGTTGTGTATACTGCTGCTCCCTCACTCGTCCGCAATACACTCGCTCGTCCGCAACTCACTCGTCCGCACGTTACCTGGCTGCGTGTTCTTCCTCTCGACCATCTCCTCTCGTGTGCATCTCTGCCAAATCAGGTGCGTTCGTTTCCGCCAAACTCCATTCGTTTGGACAGTTGGGTACAGCGACAGCCGCCCTTCATGAAGAGTTGGTGTTCAATCCCTGAAGATTGGGCATAGTTTCTTCACACCGTCCTTGTGACCTAGTTCCTTATCCCAGGTCCTTGTTCTCGTATCCCACCGCCTTGTCCACGTATATCACCTTCTTGACCTCGTATCCTACCGCCTTGTCCTCGTATCCTACCGCCTTGACCTCGTATCCCAGCACCTGGTCCTCGTATCCCTTCCATGTATCTTAAGTACGGCTGTTCTGGTCAAATAGTTTTGTTCTGATAATTACGTTAACCAGGCCAAGGAGGCCTGGTCGACGACCGGGCCGCGGGGACGCTAAGTCCCGGAAGCACCTCAAGGTAAGGTAACCTGAACGTCTCTAAACCACTCTGGAGTCACTCACTCAGTGTTGGGGTCTGGAGTCAATAACCTCTTGTTGGATAATAAGGATAATCTCTCTCCCCTGTGTGGATTTAAGAGAAACAATGTGGATTTAACCATAAGCCGGTGGGTATACGCCAGTACTCCAGAAATTATATTAATCCACACTGATTAATCCATACGACGTAATAGTGAGTAAACCACAACACTAATCATTGCACGGAGATTTTTTTTAGATAATTATATAGTTTTAATAGTCGTTATGAGTTTAATTATTTTACGTAAATGGAAAACATATAATTTTATAAACAAAATTTAGTTTTACATAAACGTGAACTTCCTCTAGTACATACATGTATGTATATAGTAGAGGAACTGTGTGTATGTATATACATGTACTCCCCTTAGGTCACCTTCACTAACCACTTCTCTCACTATCATCACAGCAGACACCATGCGTAGCGTCATAGGCACCATCCTCACCATCACCACCTCCCTCCAGGTCCTACAGCCAGCAAGGTGAGTGTCTGAGCTCTCGTGAGGGTTAATGGTGAGTGCCTGAGCTCGCCTGGTGAGTCTTGCCGCTACTCAATGAGTAAAGGAACTGTGTGTGTGTGTGTTTACTAGTTGTGTTTTTGCGGGGGTTGAGCTTTGCTCTTTCGGCCCGCCTCTCAACTGTTTACTACCTTTTTTTTTTTTTTTTTTTTTTCCCCACACCACACACACCCCAGGAAGCAGCCCGTGACAGCTGACTAACTCCCAGGTACCTATTTACTGCTAGGTAACAGGGGCACTTAGGGTGAAAGAAACTTTGCCCATTTGTTTCTGCCTCGTGCGGGAATCGAACCCACGCCACAGAATTAAGAGGCCTGCGCGCTATCCACCAGGCTACGAGGCCCCTACCTGTGTGTGTGTGTGTGTGTGTGTGTGTGTGTGTGTGTGTGTGTGTGTGTGTGTGTGTGTGTGTGTGTGTGTGTGTGTGTCCTGGTATCCCAGTTCCTTGACCTTATGTTCCAGCTGCTTCTCCACGTATATCACCTTCTTGTCCTCGTATCTCAGCTCCTTGACCCCGTATCCCATCCGCGCCAGTGTGTGTGTGTGTGTGTGTGTGTGTGTGTGTCGTGTTAGAGAAAGGGGGAAGGAGAGAGAGAGAGACAGACAGAGAGGACAGAGGAGAGGAGAAGAAAGGAGAACAGACATGAGACAATGTTTGGTATAATGTTCAAAAAAATTGATGATAAAGTGTCAGAGAAATATCCACATTTAAATTGGCAATTTAAAAAAAACGAACATTTTCCCATTAAAATAATCTTTGCGTCATCCGGTCGATTACTCGACTACCTTTCTCTCTCTCTCCTTCTATATGCCATTAACCCTCTTTCACCCCTCTCATGCCCTCTTTCCACCCTTTCTATTTTCTTACCATGCTTTCTCATGTTCTCTCACACCATCTCGTGTTCTTCCTACGCCCTCCCATGCCTTGTCATGCCTGTTCCTGTTTTATCATACATTCCTATGCCCTCTCACGCAAATTTCTTTGTACTCAGAGCTGTGGACAGCTGGGGAGAGGAGTTCTGCCGCGCCTCACTCTGTGGAATCATGCCCCCTGCCCGCTGGAAGGGCTGTTGTGTGACCTACCGCCGCTGCTGCGCCTACGTCGAGTATGTCAGCCCCCAGGGTGAGTATATCAGTCCCAAGGCGGGTATGCCAAGCTCCACTGAGAGTGTATCGGCACCACGGTGGAGACGCCACCCCTCAGGGTGAGTATAACGGCCCTATGGTGGATATATTAGCACTTTAAAGGATGCATATAAGCCCTTTTGGGCTATATCGCATTTGCATGGAAAGTATGTCATGACCAATGCATCAAAAGTATATCTTGACTAATATATCAGCTTCCTGGGATGGGTATTACGTGCCTCGTGGCAGGTATTTCAGCTCTTCTCGCCCACTGATGCAGGTGACCGTGCAACAGCGTGCATATACTTACATGAATATATGCAACATGTATGTATGTCTGTCCGTTAATCTTTGTCTGCCAACCTGTCTGTCTGTTTTTTTTTTTTTTATCTCGGAGAGAAGAGTTCGACTCCTGCGCACGCGTAAATCAGCTTCATCCTCATGGCTCGCAAGGTTTAACTTAATACTAACTTACTAGCAGCGGGATAAGTCACATTTGTACTTATATGAACTTAATTACGTTCGAAGCTTCCGGTCAAGACGTGGTCCATTCACTCACCTCAGCCAGTCCAACACCCTCACTTAACTAAGGCCTTCGGTAACAGGGTTGGTGATTTGTGTGGAACAAATTGCCACGTAACATAATAAAAGTAAGATTCCTTGATTGTTTCAAGCGTAGGTTGGACATGTATATGAATGAGATAAGGTAGGAATAAAGGAATGATAAAGAGGAACTACCTGGTATGGGCCAATAGGCCTTCTGCAGTTACCTTCAGTCTTATGTTCTTAACTTTTTTTGTTTAGAAAATTAAAAGTACAGAATTTTCATGCTGAATATTGACTATCGACGTGGTAAGTCACATTTGTACTTACATATCAGCACAATTTAACATGTCATATTAGTATTAATTAAAAAGCAGGTAAGTCAGAGAACAGTCGCAAATAGAAAACATTATGATTTATTATTATCTTTGGTTAAGTTATTTAAAATATATAAATAATGCCTTTAACATTTATAATATAATTTTTGTTCTTTAATCTTCAGGTCCGTTCTCCTTCGAGGAACCACTGTCAAATACTCAAGAGCTGTTCTTAGTGCCGATAAAACCTCCAGAGGCGTCACAAAAGCCTTCAGCAGTAGCAAGAAATCCCCCATCAAGGTGTCTCATTAACAGTTACCACGTTCTTGTTAACAAGATTTCGTTGTTGGAGAAAATATTCTCATGTGCGCCTGTAGACTAACTGATCCCATATTTTGATTTAGATCAGTATATCATAAAGTTCACTTGGGAATAAGGTGAGAGTTTACCTGTATCTGCTTAACTCTGGTGTCCCAGCAGACACCTACAGGGGAAGGGGGGGAGGGGGGAGGGAGGAGTGTCTGCTGTGGGCGCATGTATATATATATCCAACCCAAGTTCGTTAAGTCTAACCTTCATTTCTGGCCTCCAGGTCTTTGCCGCTCCAGGAAGCCTCGACATCACGCATTCAGGCGGACCAGCCCCAACCCGGAGCTCTCCCAAGGCCCCAAGCCAGGCCCCAAGCCAGGCCCCAAGCCAGGCCCACAGCCAGGCCCCAAGCCAGGCCCCAAGCCAGGCCCCAAGCCAGGCCCCAAGCCAGGCCCCAAGCCAGGCCCCAAGCCAGGCCCCAAGCCAGGCGCCCGCCGCCCATTAGCTACTCACTGGTCAAGCCTCGACCACCGTCCGGCGCTTCTAAACAACCTCCGAGGACCTACAATGACGTGTGCGTGAGAGGTCATCGTCTGTTGTGCCTCCTGTAGGGAGCTTTAACCTCCTGTGGGGGGTTTTGACCTCTTGTGGGGGGTTTTAACCTCCTGTGGGGGGGTTTTGACCTCCTGTGGGGGGTTTTAACCTCCTGTGGGGGGTTTTGACCTCCTGTGGGGGGGGGGTTTGACCTCCTGTGGGGGGGTTTGACCTCCTGTGGGGGGGGTTTGACCTCCTGTGGGGGGGGGGTTTGACCTCCTGTGGGGGGGTTTTGACCTCCTGTGGGGGGGTTTTGACCTCCTGTGGGGGGGTTTTGACCTCCTGTGGGGGGTTTTGACCTCCTGTGGGGGGGTTTTGACCTCCTGTGGGGGGGGTTTTGACCTCCTGTGGGGGGGTTTTGACCTCCTGTGGGGGGCTTTAACCTCCTGTAGGGGGCTTTAACCTCCTGTGGGGGGGGGTTAACCTCCTGTGGGGGTCTTGAAACTCCTGTAGGGGGCTTTAACCTCCTGTAGGGATCTTTAACCTCCTGTGGGGGTCTTGAAACTCCTGTAGGGGGCTTTAACCTCGTGGGTTTTTTTTTTTTTAACCTCCTGTGGGGGTCTTGAAACTCTTGTAGGGGGCTTTAACCTCCTGTGGGGGGTTTTAACCTCCTGTGGGGGGTTTTAACCTCCTGTGGGGGGTTTTAACCTCCTGTGGGGGGTTTTAACCTCCTGTGGGGAATTTTAACCTCCTGTGGGGGGTTTTGACCTCCTGTGGGGGGGGTTTTAACCTCCTGTGGGGGGGTTTTAACCTCCTGTGGGGGGGTTTTAACCTCCTGTGGGGGGGTTTTAACCTCCTGTGGGGGGTTTAAATCTCCTGTGGGGGGGTTTTAACCTCCTGTGGGGGGGTTTAAATCTCCTGTGGGGGGGTTTTAACCTCCTGTAGGGGGCTTTCACCTGGGTTGTGCGGGTCTCGAACGTGGACCCCACGTGCGTGAGGCTGTATCTCTATCGACTGGGATATGAGTTGTCTTGATAAGGAAAGTTTCCAAATACAGCATCCGGCTGCCAAACAGATTACATATTCTAACATCACCTCACAACATATCGCATCACATCAACATATCACCCCACCTCCCCCTCACGTCACTTAATCACCTCACGTAGACTCGCTTAACATGACCTCATCTCTCGTCTCTACCGACAGCATCAGGAAGGTGGACGCGATGCACTGCAAGGCCAAGTACTGCAGTCTGCTGGGAGCTGACAAGCAGAGGCGCTGCTGCGACGTGTACAGCCAGTGCTGCGCCTACGCCAACCTCCCTCACAGCAACAGTAAGTCGACCCCCCTTGTAGAGCGCAGGACGGGGCAGGCCTTGCTGCAGTCTTGAGATAGGTTATCTTGAGATGATTTCGGGGCTTTTTTAGTGTCCCCGCGGCCCGGTCCTCGACCAGGCCTCCAACCCCAGGAAGCAGCCCGTGACAGCTGACTAACACCCAGGTACCTATTTTACTGCTAGGTAACAGGGGCATAGGGTGAAAGAAACTCTGCCCATTGTTTCTCGCCGGCGCCTGGGATCGAACCCAGGACCACAGGATCACAAGTCCAGCGTGCTGTCCGCTCGGCCGACCGGCTCCAGGATTCCAGGAGTCTGTGCTCGTGGATTATAGGGACGAGGAGGTGTTGGTCTTGTTAAAGTGGTAGGTCAGTGCTTGTGGGGGGATGGGGGTCAAGGTTACAGTAGTTGAACAACATCTCAACTTTTCTCTCTTATACTTGACCATTAATTTAGAATTTAATGTTTAATTGTATTAGTATTTATTGGTTAAGTATTGCAAATGATGACCCCGAGTTTTAATCGTTGAATCTCTTATGATTTTTCAGTGTTGAAAGACCTAAAAGGTGTTTGTTCGGTTCTATACTAATTTAATGATTGTTCCTCTATGAAGCGGCTTCATAGTGAGTGAACATTTGGCCAGGAGAACGGATGGTGATAAGTTATAAATTGGCGATTATAACGGGAATATTTTTTAGTATTAAAATGTGTTCAACTTGCGTTCTTGTTTGACAGATCCCTTCTACTTCGAGAAGAACCCTGTGAACTACTAGCCAGACCAATGGAATGATTGACACTCCAGACATCAGACGTCAATCATCCGTCAGTCATCTGTCAGCCCGTAAACCTGTCAGCCAATCGCTGTTAAACGTCAAGCTTAATGCCGAACTTTCTGATCAACCAAATCGGCTCCAATTCATGGATTCTCCTCTCGAACACCAGATGAAGAAGATCACCAGATGATCCTACACATACGCCGGCTCGATGAGCATTTAAATGTGTTTTTTAACTATACTGGCGATATAGATCTACTCAACCTCTGCTAGTCTCAGTGCGCTCTCTCTCCTTCTCTCTCTCTCTCTCTCTCAATTACGTATATTATCATCACCTCAAAAACCCATAATTTAAGAGTGTATCAAGCGGCATCGCATAGAAACTCCCTCATAACGAATATTGTCAAAATGTAGAGAAGTTGAAGAAATATATTGAAAAGTTGCGGTCTTGTGCTCCAAGCTGCTCAAAACTGCGTCCCGGTGTTAAGCAGTTGCCTGACTTCCATTTTAATACACCCAGCTGTTGTACCATTAGTTTGAAAACATTGCGAGCTTTCAGCAGTCAGATCCCCGCATATGGGAAGGCAAGTGCTCGTTTTCATCAAATCCTCGCCAGCCAAATTTGGTGAAATGAGACAGTTTTACCGAGAAAGCTTTCGTAACTTTGAGAAATTGTAAGTTTCGCCTAAACTATTTTTGTAAAAAGCATGTATGAGTATATTATATATACATTATATTTTATATTATAAAGTAGTAGTGTGAGTGAAGAAAGATGAACATTCTATACCTGCAAGATCTTCAGTGCTTATTTTCCTATAGGAAAATAGAGCTATATTGAAGGCTATTTTGCTAGATAAGGCATTTCAATCCGCCTCCTGGTTCTATTACTCTTTCCCCACTTCTCCTTTCTTCCCCTTCCTCCCTCGCTCCCTCTCTATCTCCCTCCTTCATTCCCTGTATCCTTCCCTCTCCTCTATATGATTGCTGTGATTGATCATAAGTGATATTTCATTATTCCTGTACCTACTTTTAGTAATTTCCACTGGTGAAATGAGTTTCTATTAGTTGCAGTACAGGTACTCCTCAAGGCTGGAGGAGCACGTACAGTACCCCTCCAGCCTGGAGGAGCACGTGCAGGTACCCCTCCAGCCTGGAGGAGCACGTGCAGGTACCCCTCCAGCCTGGAGGAGCACGTGCAGGTACCCCTCCAGCCTGGAGGAGCACGTGCAGGTACCCCTCCAGCCTGGAGGAGCACGTGCAGGTACCCCTCCAGCCTGGAGGAGCACGTACAGGTACCCCTCCAGCCCGGAGGAGCACGTACAGTACCCCTCCAGCCTGGAGGAGCACGTGCAGGTACCCGTCCAGCCCGGAGGAGCACGTACAGTACCCCTCCAGCCTGGAGGAGCACGTGCAGGTACTCCTAAAGCCTGGAGGAGCACGTACAGGTACCCCTCCAGCCCGGAGGAGCACGTACAGGTACCCCTCCAGCCCGGAGGAGCACGTACAGTACCCCTCCAGCCTGGAGGAGCACGTACAGGTACCCCTCCAGGTTGGAGGACAAGTACAGGGACTTCTTTTGTAGTACAAACCAATAATTTTACCAATAATTTGAAAACTGTTGTGATTACTTCAATCATTATTACAAATATTAAGACATTGACGTTCAATTCAAGACATACTTATTGCAACTATTTTTTTTTACTGTAAGCCTAAACACATGCTTACATGTGTTTAAATTATAATTGTATTACCACTCTCTCTCTCTATGTATTACTTCAACTTTATTGCTGCCAGGATCTAGGATATATATTTTTTCTTTAAGAAAAATGGTTTAAAGTGCTTAATAAAGTCATACATATTTTAGGTATAAGTCTTAACTAAAGTACAAAATATATATTACATTTGAGCTTTGATTGTGTTTTGACTTTATCCTGCTGCAAGAGATTGGTTTTGTGTGTAGTTATACAGGAAGGAGGAGGAGCAAGAGGTATATCTTCCTCACTTGTCCCTTTTTTATGTAGTGAAATTTGTCACAGCTGAGAACAGTAAAGTGAAAGAATAGCAAGCAGTTGGTATGGGACTACAGGTGCCTAACAACCAGGGCTAACACCTACATTAACTTCAGTGTTGCACAACCAGGTGGCTCTGCCACTCAAAGGAAATCAGCCAAGTCCTGTAATTACAGAGAACTGGATCACCATTAAAATTTTGTCCCTATTGCTTCTGAGACACACGCGACTGGGGATAAGAGTGCCACCAGTTTTTTTTTTAAGGAACTGGGTTCTAGGCTAATTGAAACAACAAGAGACCCTAGAGCTGCCAGCTTCCTTTTCCAGCGCCTCAGTGTATAATCATATATAGCTACTTTGTAGCCCAAAATTGGGCTACTTTCGCTACTTTGTAGCCCAAAATTAGGCTACTTTGTAGCCCAAAATTGGGCTACTTTGTAGGCCAAAATTGGGCTACTTTCGCTAAATTTGCGCAAAAATTTCGCAAAATTGGGCTACTTTCGCTAAATTTGCGCAAAAATTTCGCAAAATTGGGCTACTTTTGCTACTTTGTAGCCCGAAATTGGGCTACTTTGTAGCCTAAAATTGAGCTACTTTTGCTACTTTGTAGCCCAAAATTTGGCTACTTTGTACTCGAAAATTGGGCTACATTCGCTACTTTGTAGCCCAAAATTGGGCTACTTTGTAAAGTAGTTTGCAGATTAGTTTGCCGCTAGCGGTCAAAAATCGGGCGATTTTTGGCTGCTAGCGGCGAAAATCGTCCGATTTTTGGCCGCTAGCGGCGAAAATAGCGCGGTATTCGGCCGTTAGCGGCAAAAATCTCCCGATTTTTGGTTGCTAGCGGCGAAAATCGCGCGATTTTTGCCCGCTAGCTGCGAAAATCGCACGGTTTTTGGCCGCTAGCGGCGAAAATCGCCCCATTTTTGGCCGCTAGCGGCGAAAATAGCCCCTTTTCTGGCCGCTAGCGGCGAAAATCGGTCGATTTTTGGCAAGTAGCGGCGAAATTCGCGCGATTTTTGCCCGCCAGCTGCAAAAATCGCATGGTTTCTGGCCGCTAGCGTCGAAAATAGCGCGGTTTTTGGCCGTTAGCGGCAAAAATCGCCGATTTTTGGCCGATAGCGGCGAAAATCGCACGGTTTTTGGCCACTAGCGGCGAAATTTGCACGATTGTTGGCCGCTAGCGGCGAAAATCGCCCCATTTGTGGCCGCTAGCGGCGAAATTTGCACGATTTTTGGCCGCTAGCGGCTTAAATCGCAGATTTTTGGCCGGTAGCGGCTTAAATCGCGCGATTTTTGCCCGCCAGCTGTGAAAATCGCACGGTTTTTGGCCGCTAGCGGCGACAATCACCCAGTTTTTGGCCGGTAGCGGCGAAAATCACGCGATTTTAGCCCGCCAGCTGCGAAAATCGCATGGCTTGTGGCCGCTAGCGGCGAAAATCGCGCGGTTTTTGGCAGGTAGCGGCGAAATTCGCCCGATTTTTGCCCGCCAGCTGCAAAAATCGCATAGTTTCTGGGCGCTTGCGGCGAAAATCGCGCGATTTTTGGCCGCTAGCGGCGAAATTCGCACGGTTTTTGGCCGCTAGCGGCGAAAATCGCGCTATTTTTGCCCGCAAGCTGCAAATATCGCATAGTTTCTGGCCGCTAGAGGCGAAAATCGCGCGATTTTTGGCCGCTAGCGGACAAAGTCGCACGATTTTTGGCCGCTAGCGGCGAAAATCTCACAGTTTTTAGCTGCTATCGACGAAAATCGCGCTATTTTTGGCCGGTAGCGGCGAAAATCGCGATTTTTGCCCGCCAGCTGCGAAAATCGCATGGTTTTTGGCCGCTAGCGGCGAAAAACGCGCGGGGCAAAAATCGCGCGATTTTTGCCGCTACCGGCCAAAAATCTAGCGATTTTCGCCGAGAGCGGCCAGAAACAGCGCTTTTTTCGCATCTAGCGGCCAAAAATCGGGCGATTTTGGCCGCTAGCGGCGAAAATCGCCCGATTTTTTCCCTCCACCGGCGAAATTCGCCCGATTTTTGCCCGCTACCGGCAAAAATCGCGCGATTTTTGGCTGCTAGCGGCGAAATTTGCACGATTTTTGGCCGCTAGCGGTGAAAATAGCCCCTTTTTTGGCCGCTAGCGGCGAAAATCGGTCGATTTTTGGCAGGTAGCGGCGAAATTCGCGCGATTTTTGCCCGTCAGCTGCAAAAATCGGATTGTTTCTGGCCGCTAACGTCGAAAATAGCGCGGTTTTCGGCCGTTAGCGGCAAAAATCGCCCGATTTTTGGCCGCTAGCGGCGAAAATCGCACGGTTTTTGGCCGCTAGCGGCGAAAATCACGCTATTTTTGGCCGGTAGCAGCGAAAATCGCAATTTTTGCCCGCCAGCTGCGAAAATCGCATGGTTTTTGGCCGCTAGCGGCGAAAATCGCGCGGTTTTTGGCCGATAGCGGCGAAAATCGCGATATTTTTGCCCTCCAGCTGCAAAAATCGCATTGTTTCTGGCCGCTAGCGGCGAAAATCGCGCGATTTTTGGCCGCTAGCGGCGAAATTCGCACGATTTTTGGCCGCTAGCGGCGAAATGTGCACGATTTTTGGCCGCTAGCGGCTTAAATCGCGCTATTTTTGCCCCCCAGCTGTGAAAATCGCACGGTTTTTGGCCGCTAGCGGCGAAAATCACGCGGTTTTCGGCCGTTAGCGATTTTTGCCCGCCAGCTGTGAAAATCGCACGGTTTTTGGCCGCTAGCGGCGAAAATCGCGCGGTTTTTGGCCGGTAGCGGCGAAAATCGCGATTTTTGCCCGCTAGCTGCGAAAATCTTATGGTTTTTGGCCGGTAGCAGCGAAATTCGCACGATTTTTGGCCACTAGCGGCGAAATTTGCACGATTTTTGGCCGCTAGCGGCGAAAATCGCCCCATTTTTGGCCGCTAGCGGCGAAAATAGCCCTTTTTTTGGCCGCTAGCGGCGAAAATCGGTCGATTTTTGGCAAGTAGTGGCGAAATTCGCACGATTTTTGCCCGCCAGCTGCAAAAATTGCATGGTTTCTGGCCGCTAGCGTCGAAAATAGCGCGGTTTTTGGCCGCTAGCGGCGAAAATCGCGCTATTTTTGGCCGGTAGCGGCGAAAATTGCGATTTTTGCCCGCCAGCTGCGAAAATCGCATGGTTTTTGGCCGCTAGCGGCGAAAATCGCGCGGTTTTTGGCCGCTAGCGGCGAAAATCGCGCTATTTTTGCCCGCCAGCTGCAAAAATTGCATAGTTTCTGGCCGCTAGCGGCGAAAATCGCGCGATTTTTGGCCGCTAGCGACGAAATTCGCACGACTTTTGGCCGCTAGCGGCTTAAATCGCGCGATTTTTGGCCAGTAGCGGCTTAAATCGCGCGATTTTTGCCCGCCAGCTGTGAAAATCGCACGGTTTTTGGCCGCTAGCGGCGAAATTCACGGGGTTTTTGGCCAGTAGCGGCGAAAACCACGCGATTTTTGCCCGCTAGCTGCGAAAATCGCATGGTTTTTGGCTGCTAGCGGCGAAAATCGGTCGATTTTCGGCAGGTAGCGGCGAAATTCGCGCGATTTTTGCCCGCCAGCTGCAAAAATCTCATGGTTTCTGGCCGCTAGCGTCGAAAATAGCGCGGTTTTCGGCCGTTAGCGGCAAAAATCGCCCGATTTTTGGCCGCTAGCGGCGAAAATCGCGCTATTTTTGGCCGGTAGCGGCGAAAATCGCGATTTTTGCCCGCCAGCTGCGAAAATCGCATGGTTTTTGGCCGCTAGCGGCGAAAATCGCGCGGTTTTTGGCCGGTAGCGGCGAAAATCGCGTTATTTTTGCCCACCAGCTGCAAAAATCGCATAGTTTCTGGCCGCTAGCGTCGAAAATCACGCGATTTTTGTCCGGTCGCGGCGGAAATCGCGCGATTTTTGCCCGCCAGCTGCAAAAATAGCACGGTTTTTGGCCGCTAGCGGCCAAAAAAAAGGGGCTATTTTCGCCGCTAGCGGCCAAAAATCGCGCGATTTTCGCAGCTGGGTGCCAAAAATTGCGCGATTTTCGCAGGTAAAGGCCAAAAATTGCGCGATTTTTGCCGCTAGCGGCCAAAAATCGTGCGAATTTCGTTGCAAGCGGCCAAAAATCGTGCGAATTTCGCCGTTAGCGGTAAAAAATCGTGCGAATTTCGCCGCTACTGGCCAAAAACCGCGCGATTTTCGCCACTAGCGGCCAAAAACCGCGCGATTTTCGCCACTAGCGGCCAAAAACCGCGCGATTTTCGCCACTAGCGGCCAAAAACCGTGCGATTTTGGCCGCTAGCGGCCAAAAATCGGGCGATTTTTTCCCTCCACCGGCGAAATTCGCCCGATTTTTGCCCGCTACCGGCAAAAATCGCGCGATTTTTGGCCGGTAGCAGCGAAATTCGCACGATTTTTGGCCGCTAGCGGCGAAAATAGCCCCTTTTTTGGCCGCTAGCGGCGAAAATAGCCCCTTTTTTTGCCGCTACCTGCGAAAATCGCGCGATTTTTGCCCACTAACGGCGAAAATCGCTCGTTTTTGGGCGCTAGCGGCGAAAATAGCCCCTTTTTTGGACGCTAGCGGCGAAAGTCGGTCGATTTTTGCCGCTAGCGGCCAAAAACCGCGCGATTTTCGCTGCTAGCGACCAAAAACCGTGCGATTTTCGCCACTAGCGGCCAAAAATCGCACGATTTTCGCCGCTAGCGGGCAAAAATTGGGCGAATTTCGCCGCTGGAGGGAAAAAATCGGGTGATTTTCGCCGCTAGCAGCAAAAATCGCCAGATTTTTGGCCACTAGTGGCGAAAATCGCGCGGTTTTTGGCCGGTAGCGGCGAAAATCGCCCGATTTTTGCCAGCCAGATGCGAAAATCGCACGGTTTTTGGCCACTAGTGGCAAAAATCGCGCGGTTTTTGGTCGCTAGCAGCGAAAAT